ATGGTTGTGATGGGCTTTGCAGAAAAGCATCCTGTGCTTTGGATCTGTGTTGGGAAGATGGTTTTCCAATAATCCCGTGCAAAACGATGCTTTATTTTCAGGTGCATCTTAGCAGGCGCACCTGAAGGACACCCCAAGCTATATTAGCATATAATAGATAATAATATATGACACGTATAACACACATAACATAAAGAATACTTATGTTGTTCTGTCATTAATACTTTTTTTCGCTTAAAACTTTGCTGTTTCCCCCCTGTTTGACTGCCTTTGCCAGTGATCGAGAGAAAATCTGTAGCTTTGTTTTCACCTGATTAAAATGGGATATATTTTCACAGGTTGCCCAGGTAAATGAGTAGGAGGAAGATTTCTTTTTGGAAAAACTTCTTTTTTTTTTGAAAAGAAGTCTGAAGTTGTTTCTTGAAATTGTTTATTTGCTCTGAAATTGTTTATTGACATTGTTTATTTGCTTAAACCAGGGATTTTTGGTGTAGAGAGGGGTCTGACTCATGTACTGAAATAATGGATTTAAATAATTTCAGTCCACTTCTTATGAGAAAGTACGTGTTGCCCGCGATGAACACTTCACATTTCAACTTTTGGGATAATATCTCCACCCCCGTCTAGTGTTGACCCATGAAATCCTGATTCTTTTGCTTCGGCTCTCACAGCTCTCCCCTGTTTATCCAGGAGCATTTAGCTTTGGTTTCAGCCCTCGCGCCGCCTGACCTTCATCTTGAATTTCGGATTCCGATGAACCCGTTTCTCAAAGGAAATCTTGCCAGAAAGCAGAAGTAGTTGTGCCTTTGCTGAGGTTAATTTAACCTCTCTGCCCTTTAACCTTGTTTTTCTCGTTATCGAGCACCTTTGTTAGGAGCTCGCACCGAATCCTTATTTTGATGGGATTATTCATCTCCAACACGCAATTAAAAATATTCCGCAGTGACTGTGGAATGCCCAGCATCATCTGAGACCCTCACCTGGAGAGGTATATCATATAATCAATCATTTAGAGCTCCCAGTCCTGAGCATCCCTATTTTTGTCCATGTTTCAGAGTGAAGGAGCAGTACACAATAACATATATATATATATAACAATTTATATTTTATAATATACTTTAGTTTGTGAGCCCGCCTATAGTTGCCACGTAGTCTTGCTACTTTTTTTTGCATGCCAGCTAAAATCTTGGCGGCTTCTAGGAGGATCGGTGATTGCATTAAGCGCTGCTACAAAGATAAAACAGAACTCCAGCTCGAACATTTTAAACTGAAAAAGTGTAAAAAAGGCAATAAACTTTAATTGTAGTATAACTCCAGTTTAGCTGCTTTGATGGCAGTAGAATATTTTATATTATTGAGTAGTCTTAGGAAATTCCTGTTACAGATATATGTACACACATCTGTTTTCATAATGTTATTCATCATATTCCTTTATGGCTGTAGTTCTTGCAGTCAGAGAATAAGATATTCTCCTGAAATTTCTTCAAAGAAAATTTTACCCCCAGCATCCAACACACGCTCTTTGCAGAGGGACAGACAAGAAAATCTCCGCATCACCTCTGTCTGCATCTGTTATGACTCAGTTATTCACGGCGGAATTGACTTTGTGGTGTACATCCCACATACATATTTTTCATCTCGGGGCGCTCATAAATATATCTCTTTGAAGTTGCTAATATCATCAAATCTTACAGAATTCAGACCGTTCCTTCGGTAACCCTCTAACACATTTACAGAGGACTTTAAGCATAACAGGAGATGATGCTCACACCTGATTATAAGGATCTTATTGACATTTAAAGCTGTACTGTGATTAGCCATTATTAAAACAGCTGTTTATCATTAGGCAGGAGAAATGTGAATATAAAGTACGAGCGGTGATTATAATTAGCAGTGCAGAAGTGCAGAAGTCTGCACTTAACTTTTCCTGAGCTGCGTGGTCCTTGGTAGTACAGTTAGCTGGTACAGCTGTGTGTATAACTGGGGGGGTATAGGTTAAAAAAAATAATACAATATGTAGTATATATTATGTAATATATCAGATATACCATGGGTAAAATTAGAAATAAATTTTTGTGTGTGTATGTAAGTTTTTTATATATATACACATATATATACACATATGTATACCCATATACACATATATATACACATATATATACACACATATATACACTCTCATATATATAAATATAGTTGTGTGTATGTATAACCTGGGTTACTAGGGGGTGCCCTCAGGGAACGTGACTTTTTCGAGGCACGTTAAGTGATCCTCTGGTCCTCTGCTCCCATGAAGATGGCCAGCTGCAGAGATTTGTTTTAAGGGACCAATTTCTAGCAGCAATAAATGGATCTTCATTTTGCTCGAGAGGGGCTAAATTACGTTTGCCGCTTACCTAAGCGCGGGAAGGGCTCGAGCGAAAGCCTACCTACCGCGATTCTCTCTGGTCTTTGGGGACTGATATCAACATGCGATGTAGCGCTTTGTAAAGCATCTCGAGATCAGAGGAGAAGGAGCGGTTGCCGCTTATCTGGCTCCGTGGTACCCGTGCGGACCTCAGAGATAGGCAGTATCTTTGCAGTGATATCTGAAGCTGGTGCGGGGAGGAAAATCCGCGGAGTACCTTCATCGTTCGCTACGTACGGGAAAAATAGGAGTCAGCTGATTGCCGTCTGTCACGGATTTAAGGCATAATGACATAGAGCCTATAAATGCATCTGACGGGCCCAGGATGGGGACCGTGCGGTTGGGAGACCGCGCTGGGGTGGACTCCATCAGGAATTTGGTCCCGGGTGCCCATCAAACGTGTCCATTAAGGACCGGCTGGCCAGGACTGGTGCTGGCACGAAACCTTTTATTTTTCAGAGCTACTTGTTTGTGTAAGATGATGAATGCGTTAAAATACATTGGGAAGGAGCAGCAGACACAATTATTTACAGGAAGGATGCTCTGTCTTTCCGAATTACATGAGACGATAGGAAAAAAAAGGTGAATTTAAGGATCTGCTGTCTTCTGAGCTTACTCAGCTAGTGGTGTCAGCGTAATGGTCATGCCTGTGTTACAAGGACTGTATAGAAGAAAAATAGGTGAAAATTTGAATTTTATTCTAAAGAATGGCTGTACTTGGAAAAAATAGTTTTGATGAACCAATAAGATGTGTTCACGATAGGGCACTGGGATGATGTTGGGTAGTTAATAAAAAAACCACCAAAAAAAAGCAACAGCCAAGCTGTATTTCATTCATTATTTTCACATTCGCTATGTGGGGTTTTTTTACAATATTCAGTTATCAGTGTTTTTGCCGTTCATGAGGAAGCAAGTTGCCGTTGTGCCTCGCGTGACAATCATGCATCGCGCTGAATACAAACCATCCTGAAATGGCGCGTCTGGCTCAGATCACCTGCATCTGTTCACCTCCACAGAAAGCCCCTACTTTACGAGATTGTATTTTCCTGCTCGTAGTGAATTTCCTGGGCTTCTTCCGAGGTTTTATTGACTTGATACCAACGCTCGTCATCCTCAGGCAGTACAGCAGGAGACGCTCCTTTTCAATGAGGACCCCCCTCCCACCCTGTTGAATAATACTCATTTCTTCCTCTAGGACAGAGCTCATCTAAAAATCAATTAAAACCCCTATTTTGCAGAAGACGGTAAAAAAAACACCAGAAAAACAGAGATCCCATTCATACTAATTGCCTCTTCCACTCTGAAGAAAGTGAAAGACTAATTTTTTATTTTTTTTTACAGAAACCTCTCCTACTAAAGCTATAGGTCATTCTTTTCCATCAGTTTGATTATAAAAATAAAAGCGCTTCTCAAAAAGGAGTTTCTGTCTTGAAAACGAGAAGAGGCTTTAAATGATGTGATGCATTCCCTTAGATCTGCGATGGGATTTGAGGAGGAAAAATCGGAATGTGCACTTCGAAGGTTTTACATCCTGAAAATGTGGTTGGGGATAAAAATCCATTACCCGGGGTTTTTGTGAACTAAAGGACCGGGAAATAAAAGCAAAGTAATTTATTGGGGTTTTATTCATGAGAATATTTGTAAATATTTTGCTGAAAGTCTTTTTGCTCATTTCTGTTTCCTGTAGTGAAAGGAGATATGAGGATGGAATTTACTGCAATTATTCTCCGAAAAAAAATAAATAATACAAGTACAGAGGTCTTTAGAAGAGTTTTGTTTAATTAAGCTGCTTCTCTAAGGAGAAACTCTATTTCGAAACTGTACGTGTGCAAACTTTTATAGTTAATGCAAACGTCTAAGCCGCATCTAAGATGAAAATCTGGACAATTTTAGGTTCTGCCCATCTGGTTCACATGCTCCTGTATTCTTTGAGCATCTCTGCTTTATGCAATGGTGGTTTGTTACGTTTGGTTTTACAACGGGACTTTGCTTCTGAAATATGTGGTGCATATAACATTCACGTCTTGGAATTTATCGGCGACCGGAAAACTAAAATTGGCAAAAAATGATTTAAAACGTGCGGAATTGGTACTTGTTCAGTCGTTAGGATATAACAGGACTGGGTGCTGGAAAACCTCTCAAGCTCAAGGAGAAATTGGTCACGTACTTTGGGAGTAGGATGAAAAATTAGTCAACTTTGTGGTTTCCGAAATAGGATAATGCGCTAAAAATTTCCCCAGACCGCTCGGTGTCATAGGTGACGATGTGTCCCAGGGGGTTATCAGGAACTGACCCCCTATTTCTCGCTTGCTTTCAGCCCGCATTGATTTCTCCTCATCTCACGGTTGCTTTTAGGCGATCTTTCCAAAACCACGTGTCCTGCAGTGAAAATTGCATCTCTTTGGGATTGTTTCAGTGCATGCTTAAGCCCATTGTCCAGCGGATGAGTTTTACGTTACTGTTTTGAAGTGTGTACCCATTTTCATGCTTTCTCATGAATGAATTCGTTTTCCTCTGCAGTCACAACAGGTTTTTTCAAATTTTGACATTTTGCTAATTGCATTTTCCCCTTGTCTTGTTTTTTTTTTTCCAGCTCTCGTAAATGTGAAACTTTGGGCTATTGATCGGCAATGTTTTCAAACAATAATGATGAGGACAGGCCTCATCAAGCATACTGAGTATATGGAATTTTTAAAAAGGTATGACACTTGTTTACTTTATCAACAAATACAGTGAAACTGCCGTCCTCGTCTTTTGACTTCTTTTTTTTTTATTTTTTTGTGAGTGCAGTATTTGTTTTGTTTCCTTCTCATCTCTTTTGTGTTTTTCTTTCTTTCTTTGCTGTTTAACCATCTGTAAGCCATATCCTCCAGCCTCAGGAGGAATCTCGCCGCGGTTTAGTTTCGTTCCCGTTGTGAGTTACCTATTGGCAAAGAGTCACGCAGCCGAGGTGTAAGAGAAAAAGCTTTAATATGAGTCATTGGAAGCATACCTTATTAAAGAAAATACTTACTAAAACAAAAAAAACCACTCTCCCTAGAGAAAAATGTGGTTTGTAAACTGTTATAGAAAGAGGCTAAGTCCATTCAAAGTGTGTTCTTGTGCTTCTAGAGGTAAAATGTGAGTTTCTAGAGAAGCAAGAGCTGAAGTTGCGGTGAATACAGCGTAGAGAGGTAACGAGAAAGACATTAAGACAAGTCTTTCGCTCCTTAAATTTGACTCTCAAACTTCCCTTTGGTTCGTGCTGCCCTCTCAAACTGGAACAAACCCTCCTTATCACAGCGATGTCTCATGTCTCGGTTAATATCAAGTGTGCCACAGCAGCGCAGAACGGGCTGTGTTTCACGGCAGCAAAATAATCCCAAATCGAAGCGTAATGTCACCGAATCCTAGAGAAAAAATCACCCAAGTCAACGCAATGCTGTAAGTAATTCCATCATTACTAAGATGTTACTACACCAGGCTTGTCCCTGACCAAAACGCTCCCCGCCGCATCGTTTACCCCCCAAACCGACAACCCCTCACCGTGCGAGGGGTCGAATTATACCTGAGGGATGATTTCTCTTCGTGGTGGATGGGGATGTGATGAAAACCCTTCAGATTTGGGCTCCTGTTCGTCTCTCTCCAGGGGCATAGCTGGACTTAATTTTCAACATAGGGAAATGTTTTAGCGATGATTGCTTTGTTTCCAGAGGTCGCTGCTTTTTTCCAAAGACAGGTTTTTGGGGAAGCGCGCTAGGAGATCTTACAGTTTGCAAAGTAGTGACCTGAGTAATGATATACCCCCTTTAAAAGGATGTTTTGAATGAAAATTTAATCCTCCGCAGCCGTATCAATTGACAGGTACCGGGTCTCCCTGATGCGGGTGCACTTATTTTTACCGTGCCATGTCACGTGCGCCATCTGCTTTTGTTTCTGACCTGCTTTTTTATGTGTTTTCAAAGGTAAGACTTCTAAAATTGGGGGGAGGGGAAGCACAGTACGTTCACTTGGGCATTCAGTAACATGAACTCAAGGAGCAGCCTGTATTCATTCACCTTGAAATTAGTTTTTCTCCAGTGGAGAAAAAGGAGGAGAAAATTGGAGGAGAAAGGGACTTAGAAAATACATCATCATAATAATAACAGGTATAAATAGCTATAATTTAATATATATAATACATATATAGAAAAAAAAAATATATAAATATGCGTATATACTAACTAAATCTCTGTGATTATATTGTTGGGGAGTCACAAGATTGGGCTGTCCCACAGGGTGACCACAGCCCTGTGACCTGCAGGCAAGGCTTTAGGGATGGGTCAGGGCAGGTGAAGCTGGGATGGTGATCCCATGGGACCGATACGCTGGGTCCGAGTGTGGACGTACCGCAGCTCAGCCAGGACCATGGGTGAGGAGTTACTTGGAGCTCAGAAGCGTTATTTGCTTAAATATGGAAGCGGAGACCTGTCCAACTCACCACACGGGTTCTTGGCTGGGTTGACATCCCACCTCCTGGCCTCTTCTTGCGGCCAAGAGTTTCGCCTGTGATTATTTTCAGTCGTAAATAAAAATAATAAAATAATGAAGCTAAAATAATTGAGCAGGTAGCACGACCTCTGATGAGGACAAGGTGTTCCCCTGGAGAGACCCAGGAGCTCCACGGAGATGTTCTGCCGCTCAGAGATGACATGAAAGTGCAGTCATCAAAGTCTAGCTTTTTCCAGGTGTCTCAGGTTATGATCATTAACAAGCAAACTCAGGAGAGAAAACAAAACCTGGTGCCGTACTGAAAGGGTTTAAAGAATTTATAAATTCAAATGTTAACAAGCATTGGCCTTCCTTGCGTGCTGGGGAACGAAACCAAAAAATGAATATAAGATCAGTTCTGGGGGTTAGAGCTTCTGGAGCTCTTTCAAAGCAGACACCGTGCACACGTTAAGCTCTTAAGCTTTGAGCTTTAATAGAGATTTTTCTAAAAGATTGTCAAGATTAATTTGGATGCAGGTTCCACAGAGCCTGCCCGGCTTGAATTTTAAAGCAAATAGTGTGAGGAAGAAACCGAGAAGCATTTTCTCACACTGTGTCTGAGCTTCTTGGACACAGACTATTACAGTGTGTCACCTACAGAGCCACCTATTAATGCTCATTAGAAAGACCTTATGCAAGCAAATATTTTTTTTTTCTTTATTCTTACAGTTGGAACTTAGGAAAAGGTTTCATCCTAGGCATCAGTTGTACCATGGGGCAGATAGCTGTAGGCAGGTCTTTACAAAATGGTATCTACCCATCGCGTCTTCCAGTTGGGCTCTCTGCGTCAATACCTATCTCAAGCTCAACTTAAATCCCATTTATTACATTAAATGCTCATTTTTAAGGATATTTTTCTTCTAAATCTTTCTAAGGAAAAAAATAGGTTAAATCTTGAAAACAAGGAGTATGTCAATTGTTGCACTTACTCTTTGTTCTTATTTTTCTTTCTTATATTAAGAGAATGAGAATGCTCTTTTTAAGAAATGGGATGAAAGAGAAACAAAGGTTTTAATGGTACCTGTTCACAGAAAAGTCAGTGGGGTTGGACAGCATTATTTTCTGCTGACATTGGTCTAAAAAAGTTCCCCTTTCTAATCTTGTCATTAGTCACAGTAGCATAATGGTCATTGTCTTCAATAACATATGTTCACCTCTGAACAGAATACAATAGAAACGAAGCTTTTGGGGGTGAAATAAGACTATTGATATCTTCTCACTTATCTTATTGAAAATAAGTTCAGCCTGAGCACGGACATCACGGGGGCTCCTTGTAGTCATTGTACAAGATATTACCCCACCACCAGCGTTGTGGTTTTACCCTGTTTTTTCCACAGAAGGAACGTATGGCTGACACAGGTCAGCTACTGTTTCCTTAGTTTCACCCTTTTATGTCCAGAGTGTGTATTGTCTGCTCCTTTCTTCTGAATGCCGTAACAAAACCATAAAAAGTACATTTCTGGTTAAGAAATCCAGGTCTACCTTCCTCATGGGTCCTGGGCCAGAAGGCTGTTACCTGGTTTGCTCCAAGGAGTAGTAGTACATGGATTTCATGGGCTTATAAAGCTTGAGATAACTCTTCTGACTTACCTAAATCAACCGCAACATACTGGAGAAAGAAGCAAGTGAACATCCTCTTCTTCTTAGTATTTATGAGGAACCAGTCTGCATATCCCTTTCTGCTGCTGGTGAAGTCAACGGATGATCCTCAGAGTGATGAAAGGATGGCCTCATTCCCTAGCAGCACCTGCTTCTTGGAAGGAATGGAAAATCCAGACTATTTTTTGATCCCTGTGTGTATGCTAAATGACAAATCATAGCAACGATTCCCTTTGAAACACAAATTTTCGGTGGCTCGTTGTGTGGCTGAAACAGTGCTAGATCAAGGCAGTTCGTAGTGCAGCTAAAAAGTTAAAATATGACATTGTTCTGGAGATATAGTAACTCCTTATGGCATAGGGGATTTTCAATCAACATTTTTTCTTTAGTTTTTTACCCAACTTAGTGCTTTCTGTATATCATTTAATGTATTTCTTGCTCTTATACAGGCAAGAAAAAGCATCATTCTGCAGTGGAGGTTACAGCTATGCTAAAATCAACTCTACGTTTCACTGCGATTTTCATTGTTATAACGTTATAGTTATTTTCTTCTCAAGCCTGTACTAAAAATAATTGCCTTCCAGCAAGACCTGAATATTTCACTTAAGGAAACAGTTACTTATAAAATAAATTCATCCAGGAAACAAAAGATGGGGAAAAGCCTTATGCTGTGGCAAGTGTAATAATTTCCTGCTAAATCATAAAAGTTTTCAGGAGGGGTAAAAATATCCACTCTTCAAAAAGACCGGAATGCCTCGGAAGAGTAAATATTATCCTTTTTTACAAAAAAAACCAAACAACCCTTCCTAAATGTTCTGTAAAAAGAGGCCTCGTGTTCCAGTTCGCCGTGTAAACTCTGATTCATCCAAGATCCTGGAACAGATCAGGAGAACAAATGATGAACACTCTGTGTTGCCTCAGAGGCAGGATCTACCTTTAGAAGTGGAAACTTAAAGGAAGTTCACAAATACACGCATCGTCTTGAATCTTACAAATAAAAATTCAGTAGCGCTAATGGAAGAAAAATTAAAGTATCTCGTTAGCCCGAGCGTTAAACTTAACGTCAGAAACTTTAATGTGGCTGAAAAAAACACCCGTTCTTCAGCCTTTAGCATTTTCTTGTAGCTCTCTGGTTCAGTCTTGAGTCTCGTTGACAGTTTTATCCGACTCCGAATTGGCCTAAGTGGGACGTTTTGATCTGGAGAGACGTGGCAGAACTGAGCTGGGTATGTCTAAGAGATGGGAGTTTATGCACTCGCGGCTTATCTGGGTGGGGGAATGAAGCTGGAAGAGTTCTTTTGGGTGTAGCCACGTATTTAACTGTGTTGACATGTACTGAAATTGGTGAGTGTGAGTAGCTCGATGGTTTTAGAGCGAAGGTTTTGCATTTCATACGGGTCATTCGTTAGCGAGAAGAAAATGCATGAAGCTTTATTAAATGACTCTGTCTTTGGCAGATTTCCTGTGGTTTCGCATGAAATGTTTCCCGAAGTGCATCTTAGGGTGAAATTATACTGGATAGAAGTGAGAGATAAATTAAGAGAGTGAGGCAAAGGCGGGAGAGACTTTGGAAAAAGGGAGTTGGAGATCG